TTTAAATACTGAAAGGAAGAGGAGTTTAACAGTCTAGCTTAATTTCACAGTTTATAACTAGACACAACAAAAGTGAGGAAATTCAACAAATCTGGGACTTTCTGGTGTTTCTTTAAGTGTCAATGTACCAATTCATTAGTTTGCTTATGAAGTGTATGATTTCATCATTCCCTGTTTATGAATCAGCCATGGTTTTTTAATTTATCTATGCTATTATTGACTGTGCTGGTGCATTCAGCTACACAATTCATAAGTAAACTAAGTAGGACACGAACTTAAACACCAGAACTAAAAACTATAGATTTAATCGATGCGAGGTTAGGAAAGAGTAGAGTGAACCATGTGTACACTGAGCAAATGTGATCCATTTACAAAGGGTGTGTGTGTGTGTGTGATTCTGTCAGTCTCTCTGACTGACTGTTAGTCCCTATTTGTATGTCCGTGTATTTGTTTCTCATCCTATTTTTTATTTCTTTTAGTGTGTTCTTTTTGTTTCATTCTTGTTCGTTTTCTTCTTTATTCACCTGTTTGTTTTCTTAAGAGAGAGATAAAGAAGCTGAGAAAGTGGTAAGTCTAGGAAGGTAAGGATAATCTAGGAGGAGTAGGGAAGGGAAAATTATGATCAGAGTATGTTACAAGAAAATAACTTTATTTTCAATAAAAATTGAAATAAATTAAATAAAAAAACTTACAGTAGTGTTTCTCAGACTGACAATGAGCCACAAGTAGCCTTTCTTCTCAGGCCTCCTAGAGATACCTAAGAAACCGGCAATGGTAACGAAAGGGTTCTTGCATTTTATTTTTGTTTTCATTTTTGTCCCTTAAGAAATCTCAGATACTCTTTTATGTTACCATTGTACTTAGAAAGATATTCATTTTTTCCCTAAAAACACACAGGAGAAGAAATCATCCAGCAGATGAAATACAAGAGTGGTTTTCAAGGGCTGCAGAGATGACTCAATCATTAAGGCTAGGCCCACTAGGCTTCAAGAGGGAGTTCAAAGAAAAGATTTGTTCACTAAAACATCTTAAACTCTCTTGTTCTTGACAACCTTTATTTATTTATTTATTATTTATTTATTTATTTATTTATTTATTTTGTCTTTGAGGGATGGGAAGACACACAAAAACTTTTAAAGTAGTATGGAAGTCAGGAAAAAAGCTCCACAAATGAGTTCTCTCCTTCTACCATGAGTCCTGCTAACTGATCCCAAGTAATCAGGCTTGGCAACAAGCCCCCTTACCCACTGAGCCATCTCTCTTGCCCTTGTACCTGTCATTCTAAACCTAAGAGCCATCCTTGCCTTGGCAGGGACAGGTTTATGCTGACACTCTTTATTCCTCATAGAGGTGACAAGCTTTGACACCTTTCCTAAAAGATGACTGTTAACTTGCTTTTCAGAAAACAGAGAGGAATTCCTTCAATTACTATGGAATTGAAGATGATACAGGGACAATGGAAGTGGTGGTCTATGGAAGACTGACCAGTATAAAGTGTGAGCCAGGCCAAAAACTTCGACTCATCTGTTTTGAATTGTCCTCAAGCGAAGATAAACCGCAGCTGAAGTCTGTAAGACACAGTAACATGCAGGTGGGTGCTCTGTAATTTAATATTATTAAGAATTGTTCATATATATACATATATATGTATATATATTGTACTTGACTGTTGGCATTACATAGACAATCCAACATGAGAATAAAAATTAAACTTTTCACATTTAATAATAATGTTCCTTCCACTATCTTTTAAGTAAATATTTTTAAATTATAATGAAGAAAATAATTCAGAAAAAACACAAAAGTTGTTATACATTTAGTTAAATAGCAAATAATATTTCATTTATCAAAGCAGAGAGATAATTTGACAGGACTCAGGTTAATTAAGATGTTTGTTTCCAATTATGACTCTTTGATTTTTTAAAATGAGCAAAGTTAAAGCACAAAGAACCTTGGAGCCTCATGTATAATATTCAAATATTGTCTCTTGCTGAGCATGATGAACAGAAACCATAAGTTCCCAAAGATGCTTCAGGCAAATCAGACCACAATGTGCTAATATCCACAATCTTTGTCATACTTACACATTGTGTGGGATTCATTTTACACTTTTACAAAGGCCACTATTACCACGTGAACAGAAGAAATAGAAGGGATCACGTGTTCGTTCACATAGAAATGCTCTTACAGCACCATGGCTCTCAGACCACCAGCCCCCATGGCAGCTGCAACAGCAAAGTCCTTTCTCCCTCCTCCCAGCCTGCCTGTTCAATGAGACTCTGCAACTCAGTCTCTACCTCAGGGATGGCAGCTCTTTTCTCTCTTCTGGGGCTCTGTGTCCAACTCGGCTCTTCCACCTGTGCTCAAGTCTGTAGGAGTGACTAGCTACTTTCATAGTCCCAAATAATGAAGAAAACTGATTCCAAGAACATTTAAAAAGATAGACCAGTGAAAAATGGGATGTGACCCATAGGGACGTATCAGTATGAATGTAGAGAGTGTTTGGAGCCATTTGAATTTCACTTCATCTGATCTCATCAACTTCTTCTTTAAGGTCGTCAATGTCAGAAAGAAAATCCCTCAAGCCTGATTCAGATCTGAAAACCTGGATGCCAAGGATACTGTTTATGGAGATAAGATCCAAGTCCAGAAAATACATGTACATGTGAACTGTTGCAATACCATATCTATGAAAGTCAGCTCCTTTTTTAATGTTTTTCCAGGACAGGATTTCTTCGTTTTGTCCTTGCTGTCCTGGAAACCACTTTGTAGACCAGGCTGGCCTTAAACTCAGAGATCTACCTGCCTCAGCCTTCTGAGTGCCTGGATTAAAGGTTTGCGCTGCCACCATCAGACCTGCTCTTAATTCTAGGAAATGGTACTTTCTTATATTCTTTATAAACTTTTGTGTGATCTAAGTTCCATGTTTTTATCAACAATTTTTATACTTATTAATCTGTAAGTTTTACTTATAAAACTTAAATATAAAACCACATTTTCAATAAAGCAGTGCTTCCTTGGGAATATCTGTTAGCCATTTGAGAATTGCTGTAAAATCAAAAGTATAGAAGACATGCTTCATGTGTGATGTTAAGGACAAAACATGTCAAAGAACAAGTGGAACACATCCGCCCCAGAAAAACCAAGGCATTAATAGACACAGAAGATTGAATTCAGCCTTGAGTGCCATTTCCAAAGCTAGTGTGCTGAGGACAGGGCAAGTCTTCAGGCCCTTTTTGCTCAACAAATTTGAGTGTTTCATAGAGTTTAATTATTGGAGCAAAGAATCCACAGAAGTGAGGTGTCATGAATGGGGAATATTATTTGCATTAGTATGGAATCTCAACTCAAATTCTAGAATGAAATAATGTCACTGGAAACCTTGAGATCAAAATGACAAAGCCCTGTGGTAAAGAAATTAAGAAAATAGTCAGGATTTCCAGAGAGGCCTTTCTGGAGTATTGTTTGCTTCTCTTACTGCTGTGAAAAGGTACTGACTGCTGCAGGAGCTCATTCAGCACCTTGAGCCAATAGCCTTTAAGATACCAGCCCACTTGGGCATGATCTCTTTTGTTTTAAAAAGCCGAAGTAGCCCTGCTCTTTCTCTCTTGCTTCTGGCTCCTAGACTCAGTTCCTGATGGTGCAGACGGCCATTGTCTAGGACAGTGATCTGTAAGTTTTCCACTTAAATAAATAATCCTTTTATTAATCATAATTCCAAATTGGTGTGCGATTGTTTTGTGACTTACTTCTACATCTGATGCCCACATGAATTTGGAAATCCATGTCTTATTTCCCAATCTAATATCATGAAAATTTGGGGTTAATGGGGATGGCGGTTAGTCCATGGTCACTTCCCATCAATAGATCAATGCAACTTGAAAATCATATGTGGAAGGGAATTCTATTTTTGGTTTTGTTATTTTTGCTTTTTCTTTTATTATTTCCTTTTTTCAGTTTGTTCTCCCAGCACATAAGGGTGAGACAGGCTAGCATGGCAAAAAGCTTAACCACTTGAGACTTCACTTTTCTTATTTGATAACCACAGTTGCACTTTCCAACCTGAGACCATTATCTGCATATTCTGTGTACACACATTCTGCTATCAATATACCTGAAACCTATTGACTGCATGGATAACCACACACACACACACACACACACACACACATATATATATATATATACATATATATATATATTCAAATATTTCACAAAATCTTTTTGATACCAAGATAGAGAATCTAATCCAGACTAGACTAGTTCAGGTACATGTACAACAAGACAAACTGTCCCTTACAAGGAACTTTTATGATGAATATCATGTTGACCACCTTCCCCCTATGTATAATTGTGTGTATATAATCAAATGAAATACTTTGTAGAAAGGATCTGCACAGGAAGTAAATGCCTACCTAATCTAAGTCTGTCAGTTGAAATGAAGTTCCACCCATGTCACATCCACACAGCACCCCAACTCCTTCTCCTGAACCCCATGAAAGTGGCTCCAAACAATAGCTGGGACCCTTGAGCACCTTTCCTCATGTGACCACTGTTGCTCTTCATGCATATCCCTGTCTGCTCTGTACGGCCACTGTGCTTTGAGAAAATTGTCAAGGCTTCTTCATAATCTGTATGAGCCTTTATATAAATCTTTTAATTAAAAGGCAAGATTTTGGAAACATTTGACTTAGATTCTGACCACCCCCATATACTGCAACAAAGATCCATGAAGAAACCACACCAAATGCTGAAAATTGTCTTAAATTCCCAAATACTCCCGATCTGTGAGTATTTCATTTATCTTCCTTATATAACACTTTATCAGTAGTTTCCTGACACACCAAAGAACAGAGAGAAGAAAATTATGACTTTCTGTAAAAGTAAGAGACAGGGAATTGTATCTTATATAGACCTAAAGTTTCAATTTGTATAATCCACAAATGCTATGCAACAAAGATAAGAGTAACAGTAACAAATCCACCTACACAAAGTAGACTGAAAACATTTTCTGCCTGTTTTGTATGAAAATTTTCCTCAGTAGGTGTAAACAAGTATCTACTCACAGCAGACCAAAGACCAGATCCAAATAAGTTCAATTTGTTGAATGAATAGGATTTATTTTTATTATATTTCTTACAGGAATATTGATGAAGTGTTACTTATAGAAGCAGAAATGACTCCAAGATAGCTATGCCACCAGTTCATCCCACAATGAGTGTCAGCTCACAATAGCCAGAAATCTGTAGCACCCTTGACAGACTGTAGACTGTACAACGCTTTGGAAAGTGTCCTTTTCAGCTAGATCAGGTGGTCTGAGTCCCTTCTGTACAACTTGGTTGACCTCCACTTTTTCCACATAATATGCTTATAAAAGGTTGTCTGAGCATGCCTAGCAACATCTTGTATATTCTATAGGAAGGAGGACAGAATTATATCTGTTTTTAGGGTTTCCTGAAACCTCTAAGTTGTTTATTTCTTGACTAATGATTTTGCTTGCAGGATGCGAGTGTCCACCCATTATTAAAATATCCTTCTATTCTGCATCCTTTTGTTAACTCCCTGTGTTTTATCAATCTTTCCTCTACGGTGAAAGAGTCTGATTTCTTTTTGCAGGGAGATGCTATTTATTCCTGAGATGCAGATATAGGAACTGCAGGGGCCCACAGCGAATCCATTTCTCTCTAGACTCATGGACAGAGAGTTAAAGTTTGTCAAGGCCAAATAACAGGATGTTTGATTAAGGTTGTGCTTACTAGATGTGTTGAGTAATAAGGGGGTTATTATGATTATTTGTTCCTTGTCTCATTGGTAAGAAATCTTTTCACTCCCCTTTTGCTTGGGGTATTAAGGACTATAGTTAATAAACTTGGGGTTTTTCAGTATTCACTGAGAGGCCTCCCAATTCTATCTTCTCTCTTTTGTCTCCTTCTCAATCCTCCATGAACTTTCAGGCACATTTGAACAAATCGGCTCAACTAGACAAGGAACAAACTTGTTGACTGAGCAATTGGTAACTTATTATCAAGTTTTGGGCTCTCCTATTTAACTGTGTCTTCCTTGAGAAAAAAAACTGTCAGTCACATAGCCAGTCAGAAGACCCTTAGATCAACTCTGACTGTTTAGAACAATGTGCAGATACCCTGAGTAAACTGCAATTTTAGCCCATAGCTTTCCTCTCAAAGATGCCATTTCAATGATGCTTTTTCAAATGCTTTCAATAAGGCTTGTCTTCTTGTGCCATAAAACTTGAGGAATCCACAGGATCTGGGAATCTTTTCTATCTAGGCTAGAGCCAGAGCACTTCCTCAACACCTAATAGAAATACTAATATGATTGATGCAGATGGGAAATTTCCCTTGTGTGTGATGCACTCATCTAGTCTATAGAAATCCTTCTCTACTATCAACAAACAGCTCAGCATCACTGTGTGAACTTGGAAAAACTGTCCTCGCAAGATTAGTCCTAATATAGGACTCCTATGCCATTTTTATTATTATTATTATTATTATTAATTATTAATTATTATTATTTTGGCAGTGAAGGTAAAGCTGGTAACATGAAAAAATGATCACCCATTCAGTCATTTCTCCTGGTCTAGCTTCATCCCTTTGTGATTCTCTAAAATGCAAGGTACCCACCTCTCTCTCTACACGGGACTTCAGAGTCACCAAACTTGGCAGGAACCCATGTTGCCCACCTGCTTGCCTGTGCCCTTCTTTGCCTCCTCCATTCTGCTCTCTCCAGTGGACTCTTAGAGCACCTGCAGCCTTCTTACTTCATCCCCTGCACATAAGCCACCTCCATCCATATAAGACTCACTGATTTCCATGGCCATAGCCAAGGTAACTCTGGTTATTTCTCTACTCTTCTTCCTAGAGTTGGACTCTAAGACCTGTTTATCAGAACTATGGAGCCATCCCTTCCCTTTATACCTCCCAGTGTTTCTGAACCTGTGGGTTACAACGCTTTTGGGGCTTGAACAACCCTTTCACAGGATCACGTAAGGTCATCCGCATTATGACATAACTGTAGAAAAATTACACTTATGAAGTAGTAATGAAAATAATTTTATGAATGGGGTCACCACATGAGGATGTATTTAAATGGATGCAGCATTAGAAAAGTTGAGAATGAGTGTGCTACCCTAACACCAAGATCACCACTGCACCAATCAGGGACTACATAGAATCTGAATCCAGAACTCAAACTAGAGCTTGAGATCTGAGAGTAATTGGAGTCTAAACAGTAACACTCAGACTGACCCCAAGACTGAAATCTAAGCATTATTTTCCTTATATACCATACCCAATGCTTGTTTTCATAGGAATATCCCTTATTAAGCAGGAAAGAGAAGTTAAATGGCTGCTTGTTGTCAGAGGCTTTCTATTTAGCCTGGTCTCGCAGTCATTAAGTCCTAAAGAAATCACACAGAGGTCTACATTAGTTATAAACTGATTGGGACATTAGCTCAGACTTCTTATTAACTCTTACAACTTATGTTAGACCATTATTCTTGTCTTTGTTAGCCATGTGGCTTGGTACCTTTTTCAGTGTGGCAGATATCTTTCTTCTTCTGTGGCTGGGTCCAGACTCAGGGCCAAGCTTTCCTCTTCCCAATAGTCTCCTGTACTACTTCCTGCCTTGTTGTCCATCCTATACTTCCAGTCTGGCTTCTGATCAATCAGCATTAATTTAAATTATAATTGACAGAATACAAACAATTGTCCCACACCACTTCCCCCTCTTTTTTTAATATCTAGAACTCTGAATCTAATATCCTTTGTTTAGCTTTTCTCCTGACCATTAGCCATAACAACCTGTAACCAACATTCTAAACAAAGGAAAATATCCTTAGACCATTTTTTGGGAATGTGGGAATAGTTTTCTAGGCGACTTCCTGCTAGTTGGGGGGCACTGATGATCTTATGGGAACCTACATAAAATTTAGAATTATGATCAAGTTGACTGAAATAAATATCCTGTGAGGCTTGATCATCTCAGGCAGCAGTCTTGAATCTGTTCTGGATGTAGAACTCTGACATCTGGGCCATCTGTTCCTACTGGAGATTTCTCAGGTGGTCTTCCTTGATCAAGCCTGATTTTTCTTAACTCAGAATAAATCCACAGCCTCTCATTTCCTGTGGAAACAAAAGCAAAACCTCTTCTCCAAAGTAACATACTCTTTGACTTCAATTTTGAAGTCAAGGTATTTTCAAAATACCTATCTTGGATTAATTCCAAATATAAACAAATATCTTTTAGCAACTGTTGCTCCTTCCTCAGCATTTAAATAATCTGAAGAAAACATAATAACATACAGTATCCAGACTCTCTGTGTTTTTTCATATTTATGTGGCTTTTTGAGACAGGGTTTCCTTCTGTGCATCTTTGTCCTGGAACTCACTCTGTAAAACAGGCTGTCCTTGAACTCATAGAGATCTGCTTGCCTCTGCCTCAAAGCTCTGGGATTAAAGGTGTGTGACACCACACCTTGAATTCAAGGAGATCTGCCTGTCTCTGTCTTCCAAGTGTTATGATTAAAGGTTTGTGCCACTACACTCAACTCTTCTTTCTTTTTTAAGGACTTTAACCTTTTTCTTTTCTCTCCCAAGCCTGCATATATTTTTAATGCACTGTAAAACATTTAGAGGTTTTCTTCATCTTTGAATCTCTCTTTACTTTTCATCAACACCATTTGAGTGTTTCTTGGCA